CTCTGAGCTGCCAGCCCAGAGCCCGACACAGAACTCGAACCCATGGACTGGACTGTAAGATCATGACCTGAGCCAAAGTCAGACACTCAACCGACTGAGCTACCCAGGCACTCCAGTTTTGTCAATCTTTTTGAAAAACTACTCTTGGTTTTGTTGATTGTATTATTTTTCCATTTATTTGGTTTACCTCTACTTCATTATATTCTTTCTCCTAGCTTTGGTTTTAGTTTGCTCTTTTTCTAGTTTGTTCAGATGTAAAGGTAGGTTTTTGATTTGCCATCTTTTTTTTTTTTTCCTAGGGGAGAGAGAGAGAGAGAGACAGCATGAGCAGGGGAGGGTCAGAGAGAGAGGGAGTCACAGACTCTGAAATAGGCGCCAGGCTCCGAGCTGGCAGTCAGCACAGAGCCCGACGCGGGGCTCGAACCCACAAACTGCGAGATCATGACCTAAGCGAAAGTCGGACGCTTAACCGACTAAGCCACCCAGGCGCCCCGTTTAGCATTAATAGCTTTACATTTCCCTTTTAGACGGCTTTTGATGCATCCCATAATTTTTGGTATGTTATATTTTTCTTTTCATTGGTTTCAAGATACTTTGTGATTTCTTCTTTGACCTGTTGGCTGTTTAAGTGTGTGTTGTTTAATTTCCACATATTTGTGGATTTTTTCCAGTTTTTATTTTGCTATTGATTTCTAGTTTCATTTAATTATGATTGAGAAATATAATTTATATGATTTCAATCTTTTAAAATTTATTAATGCATGGGGCGCCTGGGTGGCTCAGTTGGTTGAGGGTCCAACTTCGGCTTAGGTCATGATCTCGCAATTCATGGGTTCGAGCCCCGAATTGGGCTCTGTGCTGATAGCTCAGAGCCTAGAGCCTTCTTTAGATTCTGTGTCTCCCTCTCTCTGCCCCTCCTCCACTCGTGCTCTGTGTCTCTCTCTCAAAAACAAATAATAACATTAAAAAAATTTTAACTGATTAATGCATGTTCATGGATAGCATATAATATATCCTAGATTCATGTTTACTATTTTGATAAACTTTAGATTTAAAAAAAAAATTCTTGAAGTCAGTTTGCCAAACTGCAAAATCTGAGAGAATGGTGCTCCACAAGACTGTACTTATTTCAGACAGCAGCTGCAAGTTTGGGGATCTTCAGGGCCACCCTCATTCCTTATTAGCCAGCTACACATAAGGGGGTACCTACAGTCACCTTCAGGTTTGATAATTCACAACAGTGATCTCCAGAGGTCAGGAAAGAACCATATATTATGATTACAGTTTTATTGTAACAAAAGATAACAAAGAACCAGCCAAAAGCAGAGACACCAAGGGCAAGGTCTGGGAGAGTTACAAATATGAAAGGGTCCTCCAGACATCTCAACATTCAAAAGAATAAGCTTTCAAGAGATGAAACTCTTGTACAGAGTTATTTGTTTGTTTGTATTTTGGTTTTACTATGTAAGTATCATTGAGTGAATCCTTGCCCAATGCCCAATGTGTTTCAATCTCCAGCCTCCTTCCCTTCCCAGACTGATATGATAGCTCAAAGCACCAACTGTTTAATCACATAATTGGTCTTTCTGGCATGGCTAGCCTCCATCCTAAGTCATCACATTAGCAAAAACTATCTAGAGACATGTCATGAGTCATAAACTATAGCTGTAAACTATCAGGTATGGTCCAAGGGGTACACCATGAATCACAATGACACTCCTTCTAGTAACTTAAGAGTGTTTTAGAGGGTTACCTCTTGGGAACTATGGACAAAAGCCTGCCAAATTCTTTATTACACAAGTTTTTTAAAAAATTCACTATAAGGCTCTGACTGTAATTGAATGAAAGTAAAAGATTAATTTTAGAATTAATGGCTTTACATTTTGGTTCTTCATATAGAAAAACAAAGTATGCATCTTTCCCCTTTATGCAAGTTTAAGTGTGTGGGGAGGTCAGGTCCCTCATTAAATTGTAAAGCTTTTTGCTCATTTCTTGTAAAGTTTATTTTTAGGGTATTTTCCCTCTTCATTGTTGTTGTCAATGTTAAAGTTATCTTCTGAGATTATTTTCTTTATGCCTGCTTCTATTGCTTTTTAAAATTAATTCAGGAATTGCAAAACGATACATTCTTATTTGAAAAAATACGTGTAAATGGTATGGTAATCTCCCTTCTTCTACATAGCTTCTACATTCTATTTGCCTTTTATTTATGGTATGATTCATTTCTGGTGTTTTGCAAGTCACAACATATACGTGATTCTTTGTAATGGTCACTATTATTAGCTGTTGTTATTACTACTTTTGTGACATTTCTTGACTAATATTCCAGTACTCTGTGTGTTTTGTGATACTGTATTTTATTCTTTTTCAGTATAAATCATTGAACAAGTTGATTTTCAAAGAAAAAATTTTTTTAACATTTATTCATTTTTGAGAGATGGAGAGGGATAGAGCATGAGTGGGGTAGGGGCAGAGAGAGAGGGAGACACAGAATCTGAAGCAGCCTCCAAACTCTGAGCTGTCAGCACAGAGCCTGATGCAGGGCTTGAACCTGCAGACTGTGAGATCATGACCTGAGCTGAAGATGGATGCTTAACCGACTGCGCCACAAGTTGATTTTCATTACAACCTTTAATTTCATATCATGTGATATTAATGTTTTTAGCCATGACTTTTTGGTTTACATTTGTTCCTTCTTAATCTCTTTTGGTTTGTTCTCTTTTCCCAAATATCTTAATGTTGGAGTACTCTAGGGTTCATTACTTGCTGCTTTCTCTCCTCTTTATCTATACTCATTCTCTTTAGCTGGCAATTTCTAGTTTAAAATCTTTAGTCCTGAACTCTATCTTAAACTCAGTCTTATGGGTCCATAATGCTGTCTTCTTAGCATTTCCATTTCAATGTCTAAAAAAACAACTTAGAGTGTCTGGGTGGCTTAGTCGGTTAAGCAGCCAACTCTTTTTTTTTTTTTTTTTTAATGTTTTATTTATTTCTATGAGAGAGAGAGAGAGACAGCTTGAGCAGGGGAGGGTCAGAGAGAGAGGGAGTCACAGACTGAAACAGGCTCCAGGCTCTGAGCTGGCAGTCAGCACAGAGCTCGACGTGGGGCTCGAACCCACGAACCGCGAGATCATGACCTAAGCGAAAGTCGGATGCTTAACCAACTAAGCCACCCAGGCGCCCCATGCATCCGACTCTTGATTTTGGCTCGGGTCATAATCTTGCGGTTCATGAGTTTGAGCCCTGGATCAGGCTCTGTGCTGACAGTGTGGAGCCTGCTTGGGATTTATTTTCTCCCCCCCGCCACTCATGTTATCTCTCTTTTTCAAAATAAATAAATATTTAAAAAAATAAAAAACACCTTAAGTTTCTTATGTTCAAACCTGAATTCCAGATCTTCCATATATCCCCACCCAAACCTGCTGTGCCCATGGCCTTTCCCATCACTGTTAATGGCTAATCCATCCTTCCACGGCTCAGACATAAACTTTGAAGGCTTGCTTTTCTCATTTTTCTGTTACTTTTATTATCCAATCTGTCAGGATATCCTCTTGGCATTTCCTACAAAATACACCTAGAATCTGGCCACCTCACTATACTTCCATTGATAGCCCTCTGGTCTGGATCCTCATCATCTTCACCTGGATTACTACAATCATAGGTCTCCTGGCTTCTTCCATTATTTGCCACAATTCAGTATTTTCATTGAACTGTAAATAAGTATCACTCCTCTACTCCACAAACACTTTAGTGGCTCTCCAGATCCCACTCAGGATAAGAGCCAAATTCCTTAGAAAGTGTACAAACCTTAAATAATCTTATCTTTTATTTCCTGACTTCATCTCCTACAACACCTCTCCAGCTACACTGGCCTTCTTACTATTCACCAAACATATCAAATGTGCTTCTACTTTTAGGCTGTTTCTTCTGCCCAGAATGATCTTTCTCCAAATATCCAAGTGACTAACTTCTTCACTTTCTTCAAATCTTTGCTTGAATGTTAACTTATTAATTATTCCTGCCTCTGACTTCACCAACATTCCTAATCTCTTTTACTCTGCTTTTCTTTTTCTGAAGCACTTAGTACCTTCTGACATACAGTAAAATTTACTCATTTACATTTATTTCCCATCTCCCCCAAGAATATAAGGTCATTAAAGGTAAGGATCTTTCTTTAGTGTAGTATCAAAAGCATTGGAAGACTTTGGCACAGGGTTCAGTAAATATTCTTGCAAGAAACAACTATAATAATGGATGTTATTTCAGTGCCTTTATTATTCGTACATGTATGAAATTATAACCAAGTCCATCTACCTCCATAATTCCTTTTTGACATGAGATTTACGTTTCTGATTAAAAAAAAATATTCATTTATTTTGAAAGAGAGAGAAAGCACAAGGGAGGGGCAGAGAAGGGGGCAGGGACAGAGCATCCAAAGCAGGTTCCATGGGGCGCCTGGGTGGCTCAGTTGGTTAAGCATTCGACTTCGGCTCAGGTCATGATCTCCACGGTTCATGGGTTCGAGCCCTGCGTCGGGCTCTGTGCTGACAGCTAGCTCAGAGCGTGGAGCCTGCTTCAGATTCTGTATTTCCCTCTCTCTCTGACCCTCCCCTGCTCACTCTGTCTCTTTCTTGCTTTCAGAAATAAATAAAACATTAAAAAAACAAAAAACCAAAGCGGGTTCCTTGCTGTCAGCATAGAGCCCGATGCAGGGCTTGAACTCACGAACCATGACATCATGACCTGAGCCGAAGTCGGATGCTTAAATGACTGAGCCACCCAGGCGCCCCTACCTTACTGATTTTCTTATAATTTCTTTTCATTCCTCTTCACATTTCTGTATGATCTATTTTCAGTTTCTTGCAAACATCAGAACTACAAAAGCCAATGTTTTTGTGGGTTTTGTTATTAAATTCACATACTTCATTTTATGAATGTACATTCAGAAATGTTCCTTCTGGTACATGATAGAGGAGACATGTTTTTACATTATTTTTCAGGCTGGGAATCTATGTGTGAGACTGAAGAGTTAACCTCAAAGCAGGATATTTATGAAGCACAATCATCTCAGATGATACTAGAAAAACTTACAAGCTGCAGCCTTGAGTATTCCAGTTTAAGAGAAGAATGGAAATGTGAGGACCATTTTGAGAGACAGCCAGTAAATCAGAAGGGATGTTTCAAGGAAGAGACAATCACTCATGAAGAAGCCCTTGTTAATAAAAGAGCACAAGAATATAACAAATCTTGGGGAAGGTTCCATCCAAACACACTGCTTCATACACAACAGATAACCACCAAAGAGGAGAAAGTACATAAACATGATACACATAAGAAAAGCTTTAAAAAGAATTTAATGGCCATTAAGCCCAAGAGTATCTATACAGAGAAAAAACTTTTGAAATGTAATGACTGTGAAAAAGTCTTTAGCCAGAGCTCATCTCTTACTCTTCATCAAAGAATTCATACTGGAGAGAAACCATATAAATGTGTAGAATGTGGAAAAGCCTTTAGCCAGAGATCAAATCTTGTTCAACATCAGAGGATTCATACTGGAGAGAAACCCTATGAATGTAAGGAATGTAGGAAAGCGTTCAGTCAGAATGCACACCTAGTTCAACATCTGAGAGTTCATACTGGAGAAAAACCTTATGAATGCAAAGTGTGTAGGAAAGCCTTTAGCCAGTTTGCATACCTTGCTCAACACCAGAGAGTTCATACTGGAGAGAAACCTTATGAATGTATTGAATGTGGAAAAGCATTTAGCAATAGATCATCTATTGCTCAACACCAGAGAGTTCATACTGGTGAGAAACCTTATGAATGTAATGTCTGTGGGAAAGCATTTAGCCTTCGTGCATACCTTACTGTACACCAGAGAATACATACTGGAGAAAGACCCTATGAATGTAAGGAATGTGGGAAGGCTTTCAGCCAGAATTCACATCTTGCTCAACATCAGCGAATTCATACTGGAGAAAAACCTTATAAATGTCAAGAATGTAGGAAAGCATTCAGCCAGATTGCCTACCTTGCCCAACATCAACGAGTTCATACTGGAGAGAAACCCTATGAATGTATTAAGTGTGGGAAGGCTTTTAGCAATGACTCATCCCTTACTCAACATCAGAGAGTTCATACTGGAGAGAAGCCTTATGAATGTAACGTTTGTGGAAAGGCTTTTAGTTACTGTGGATCCCTTGCCCAACATCAGAGAATTCATACTGGAGAAAGACCCTATGAATGTAAGGAATGCAAGAAAACTTTCAGACAGCATGCACACCTTGCTCATCATCAGAGAATCCATCTTGGGGAGTCACTCTCACCACCCAATCCAGTCAATCACCAAGTTCTCTAGACACTATCTCATAAATATTTCCAGAATTTATACCTTTTTTTTTCTATCTCTAATGTCATCCTACTCTAAGATTCATCTCACCTCGATCACCATACTGTAGCCTTCTAATAGATCTTCCTCTATCAACTTTTGATCCCCTTAAATTCATTTCCCACCATGCCCCAAACTGATTTTTTTTTTTTAGTGTAAGAATACATCACTGCTTCCAATTAAAACTTTTTTTTTTTTTGGTTTACTATTGTTCTTAAGCTAATATCCTCAGTCTTTAAATTGTTCATGAGGTGCTTCATTATCTGGTTCTTACATACTTTTCAGTCTTATTTTATTCCAGTCTCCTTCACTGAGCACTAGGCACTTCCCAGGACTAAGAGCTTAGATTCTGGAAAATCAGCTCTGCAACTGCTGTGGCATTGTATGACTTTGAGTAATTTGTTGGACTTTTCTAAACCTCAGGGTTTTCTTTAATTCTTAAAATAGGGATAATAAAAGACACTGTATTGTAGAACTGTAATTATTAAATGATATAGTGTCTGTTGTAAATTGATGCATATAAAGGAATAAATTTGCATGTAGAGTGCTTCACATAGCATATCAATTATAGCAGATATTGAATAAATCATAATAGCTTACGTGTATTGAGTGCCTACTCTGCACCAGGCACTGTTCTACATACTCAGCATATATTAACTTACTTACTCCTCACAGCTAGAACAAAACTCCTCAATGGACAAAGTAGAACATCCCTGGGAAGCAGCAGGTCAGAACTGAGAAAACCTGAAAATTTTAGAAACATAAGTGGGAGTCTTTGTACTCTAGATACGTAATCAGTATAGGCAATAAGTAGTAGAACTATTGACACCTATAACCAGTTTTAGGAAGTTTCTAAAGAGAATTGGATAAACCAATTAATATAAGGAAAATGAAGATTGACTTAGAAGAATAACTGAGTATCATAACTCCAAATAACCAATAAACAGAAGTTCTTACTGCCCCATAAAAATGTACCAGTCCCACGCAACTGTATGGGCGAATCTGGGTAATTTAAAAAGCATTTAAATTGTTCCATACCACAGAAAAAGTATAAAGTTTGTAAATGTTTTAGCCAGTGGTTGTAAAATTTAAACCAAACCAATTGAGGGTAGAAACCTACAGACAAATATATATATAGGATTTCATATATATGTTATATATATGAATATATAAAATATATATAGGTTTTCATATATATATTTCTCCTTCAGTGAATATTGAGTACCTACTGTTTGCTGAACATGGTTTTAGACACAAGGAGACAATAGTGATCAACACTAAGACTGTGTCTTCATGGAGTTAAATTTCAAGGGCTAAAATCATTAATACTTAAATATAAAACAATAGGTTTTCTTGACCCAGCAAAATGAAGAATAATAAACTGAGGAGTATTATATGGTCTAGGCTGAAGAGACTCAGCATAATAAAATTGTCAGTTATTCCTAATTCACAAATTCACTCCAATTAGAACCAAAATTCCTCAGGTATTTTTTCCTTTTAATTTCACAGCTTTGTTCTAAATTCATCTATGGAGTGTGAATTCTTAAGAAAAGCAAGACAGCTGTCGAATCTGGAAATAGGTCATATGATAAAGATGGTTTAGACCCATAGAGAAAAGATGGATTTGCGGTATTAGAATTGTTTATATCCATTACAGTAAGGGAAAAGCAAATAGGACCACAGTGAACTATTTCAAAACTATCACATTGGCAAAAGCATCATAGTACCAATTACTGGAAAGATGTAGAGCAGTAGGAATGTTCATACAGTGCTATTGGAAGTAGTTGTTATTTAGGATAATTAGCAATATCTAGTAAAGTTGAAAATGCAGATACTCTCTGATCCAGCAGTTCCACACTTCAACCTCATAGTCTCTCCTCTCCTCATGTGTCTAGGCAGATGTACATGAAAGTCTATTTCAGTATTATTTAAGAATGAAAAGCTTAAAGCAATCAAATTACCATTAGGGTTAATGTTAAGTTAGAGCTCAAGTTAAAAAGAATGAAGTAGAGATATTTCTGTCAACATGGATAAATCTTAAAACAATATTAATGAAATTGAACTAGGCAGTACTTTGTATGATATGGTACCATTTATATAAAGTTTGAAAGTATGCAAATTGATGCTATGTGTATTTTCCATGACTAAATACCATATAGATTTAGTGTAACAACATTCATGGAAATAGTAATTCCAAAACAGTGGTGACCTTTAGCGGGGGAGAAAATGAGCTTGAGAAAATGATGCAAAGGAAGATATCTGTTAATCACTTCTTTAAAAAATAAGCAAATATGGCCAATTCTTATAAATTGATAAAGCTGGTTGGTTTATAGGTAGATTCTTATTCTCTATATCTTTCTGTATATTTAAACTTTCTTAATAAAATAAATAACATTTAAGTATTTGCTTTTGTCAGATTACTTCCTTACTAGATCTCAGGCATGCCACTGGTGTTCGCAGCCATATTCACCATTCTTTTCAGAAAGAAGCTGACACATAATTTATTTCAGATGCAATCACTGTTAACAATTTGGTATATCAGTGTTTTGACAATGACTGTATGCTTATGCTGATGGTTTTATGGCCTACTTATTACATGCTTTTCCCCATCAGTCTTTTTCTCCTTCCCCAGCTTTACTGAGGTGTGACTGACAACACTGTATGTATATAGGTGGACAATGTGATGTTTTTATATATATATTGTGAAATGATTACTACAGTCAAGCTAATTAACATATCCATCACCTCACATGTTATCATTTGTGTGTGTGTGTGTGTGTGTGTTGAAAACACTTGAAGTCTCTGCAAATTTCAATATACAATACATTGTAAGTCACCATGCTTTACATTAGGTCTTCAGAACTTACCCTCATAACTGAAAGTTTGTACCTCTTGATCAATATCCCCCTTTCCCCCACTCCTCAGCCTCTCATCACCAGCATTCTATGTCACTGTGAGTTCAACTTATTTTTTTATAGTCTACATGTAAGTGAGATCATACAATATTTGTTTTTCCATGTCTGGCTTATTTCACTTAGCATAATGCCCTCCAGGTACATCTATGTTTTTGTGAATGGCAGGATTTCCTTTGTTGTTTTTTTTTTTAATTTTTTTTTTTAATGTTTTATTTATTTCTAGGAGAGAGAGAGAGACAGCATGAGCAGGGGAGGGCCAGAGAGAGAGGGAGTCACAGACTGAAACAGGCTCCAGGCTCCGAGCTGGCAGTCAGCACAGAGCCCGACGCGGGGCTCGAACCCACAAACCGCGAGATCATGACCTAAGCGAAAGTCGGACGCTTAACCGACTAAGACACCCAGGCGCCCCAGATTTCCTTTGTTTTTAAGGCTGAATAACATTCCAGGGTGTGTGTGTGTGTTTTCCTTATCCATCTGTCTACAGACACGAAAGGTTTTTCCCCCCCATATCTTGGCTACTGTAAATAATGCTGCAGTGAAGATGGGCATGCAGATAAGTTTGAGATCTTGATTTCATTTCTTTTGAATATATATGCAGAAGTGGGGCCATATAGCAGCTCTATTTTTAATTTTTTGAGGATGCTACATACTGTTTTCCATAATGCCTGTACCAATTCAGATTGACCAAAAGTGCACAAAGGTTTCCTTTTCTCCATATCCTCACCAACAGATATCTTTTGACTTTGATAATAGCCATCCTAACAGATTTGAGGTGCTAACTTGTTGACATTTTTGTGGTTTTGATTTGTATTTCTCTTACAATTAATGATGTTGAGCATTTTTCATGTACTTGTATATCTTCTTTTGAAAAATGTTTATTTGGGTGCTTTGCCCATTTTTGTTATTGTGGGTTGTTTTTTTTTTTGTTTTTTTTTTTTGCCATTAAGTTACATTAGTTCCTTATATATTTTGGATATATACCAGACATACAGAATCAGATTTTATGTATCTGGTAAGGCGTTAATGTTTTCTCCCATTTCATAGATTGCCTTTAATTTTGGTGATTGATTCCTCTGCTGTGAATAAGCTTTTTAGTTTTTTGTAGTTCCGTTTGTTTATTTTTGCTTTATGTTGCCTGTGCTTTGATGTTAAATACAAAAAGTCATTGCCAAGACCAATATCAGTGAGCTTATTCCCTATGTTTTCTTATAGGAGTTTAATGATTCCAGGTCCAAATGAAAGTCTAATACATTCTGCATTAATGTTGGGGTATGGTATAAGATAAAGACCTAATTTTAATCTTTTGTATGTGGGTAACCAGTTTCCCCAATACCATTTATGAAAAAGATGATCCATTCCCCATTGCATTATTGGTGATTTTGTCAAAACCTAGTTGACTGTATATGCAGAAATAAATCCGTCATCATTCTTAACATTTACAGAGCACCCTTCTGTATGCACCATGATTTATTACTTCCCTGTTCTTTCCAACATTTTTAAATGTCTAGATTTCTCATAGGCCGATTACTATCCTTTTGGGCCTTTTTCTCAGATGGGAAAGGGAGATAATAATAATTTCTTTTTCATAGAATTGTTGTATGAATTATCATCACACATATTAGTGCCTGGCAATGCTTAACGTTAGCTGTTATTATTATTCTATAAAATGTATGGGGGCAGCGGAAAAGGAACTGGAGAAGGGAAATGATGTGAAGTCATTATGGTAGAAACAGGAGATTGAAATTCACTTAAGACAGGTATGTAGCACATAGGAACACTGACATGTAGTAACTCTGGATTAAAAGATGTATGACTAAATTAACTTGGTCACTATGTTTATAATCACTGTCCAGCATAATTTTTATTTTTGGTGACTTAGATTTTTTCACTATCCTTTTCTAATGTATAAGTCAAATGTAAACATAAGCAATTAAAATATCAAAGAACTTATTTGCCACTGTCAGAACTTAAAAGAAGCCCCAGACCTATATGCCTGCATGATTGAGAATATTAACAGGGGATATGATGGAAGAATGAAGCAGAGCACTTATCTACCACACTCTGGGGAATGAAAATTATTAAAACTGTTTTAAAAAAAGTTACTGCCCTCCTTTCATGTCTATTACCTCATTAATAGCCTTTAGATGGAGATGTATAGAAGTATAGCTCAATCCCTTATAGTAGTTTAGGAAATAAATACTGTACTTAAATACTTTTGTCATAGGTCCCTAGAATCTGGAATGTCACTGTGCTTCTTATATTCTGTGCTCATAAACAGCTCTGAAGTGGGCTATGTTCACCACGCAGCCAGGTATTGAACAGGAAGCCATAGTTGTTAGACTGACAAGTGGATACAAAAGAGAGAGTCTGAACTTAAACTTCCCAGTTCCTAAAGCAATTCTCCATATGTCTCTAGCCCTGCTGAATTAAAAAACAAAATACTGCATTAATTGTCAGAGAATACTTAAAATAACTTTAAGCTCTTGCCATTTTTTATCTGGAGTCTTTTTAATTTCTGATGGTTCCTTCTCAGCTATACTGAAGTAACTAGATCAGCACTTCCCAATAAAAATGTATTATGAGCAATAGAGTAATATATGTAATGTCAATTTTTCTAGTTGCCACATTAAAAAAGTAAAAAGAAATAGGTGAACTTAAGATATTTTACAAACTATCTCATTATTTCAACACATAATAAATACAAAAAATACTGTGACATTTTACAGTCTTTAATTCACACTGACCACCTTTCAAGTGCTCAGTAACTGTACAAGACCAGTAGGAACCATATTGGATAGCTAGAACTAGACCTTTATCAGAAGGAACAGGCAGGCAGAGAAAAACTGCTAAATATATAAAAACACTCCAGAAATCTAACAGAAGGAGACCAAATAGAACAAATGATACTCAATGAAACAGAATTCAAAGAAAAAAAGGAGACAATTTTTCTAAAGCTCTACTTGTATTCTCAGTGTAGTAAAACGGGAGAGTTCTGGGACTTTAAAAAAACAAAACAAAACAAAGATATGATTCAAAGAAAGAAAATGATTATCAGAATGGATATTGTAGCCATTTTAAATAACTTTCTGGAAAACCACAAATCATATGACAGGAGTACCAACAACCTCATTTGAAGAAGTAGAATGTCAGATACGCCCCAGAAGGGAAGGAGGGACACACACTCACCAATAATGGTGCAGGATCCTTGTGTTTCCCTCTCTTTCACTGTTTCTCTGGATGCCTTAATATTTATTGTGTGGGGAAACCAATAAAAAAACTAAAACCAGGAACAGGTAAAATATACTGTCCCTCAAAGGGGAAAGTGTAAATAAAACCTCTTTGAGGAGAAATTTGGCAAGATCTTCAAAAATATAAAACGCAAATGGGGCGCCTGGGTGGCTTAGTCGTTAAGCGTCCGACTTTCGCTTAGGTCATGATCTCGCGGTTCGTGGGTTCGAGCCCCGCGTCGGGCTCTGTGCTGACTGCCAGCTCAGAGCCTGGAGCCTGTTTCGGAGTCTGTGACTCCCTCTCTCTCTGAACCTCCCCTGCTCTCGCTGTCTCTCTCTCTCTCTCTCCTAGAAATAAATAAAACATTTAAAAAATATATATATAAAACGCAAATACCCCAATTCATGCCCATATCTTGTATATTACAAGTAAACATAAAAATTCACCCTGAATGGTGAAAATGAAATATAAGTTGATATAAAAGGCATGGAAGGAAAGGTGGATAGGAAACAAAATATGATTAAAATATTATTTTTTAAAAATAAAGCTTTTTCACTAATACATTATTTCTCAAAGAAGAAACCTTCAATCAGTCCTGCCTACACTCTTAACTTCTGTTCTTGTCACTTACTTTGAAATATTTGTCACCAAGGACCATTTATTTTGTAATTCCATAGGTCTAGGCTTTCCCTTTCTGAGTTTGGTACTTTTCTAACTCTCTTTCATATGCTATTCTCTTTTTCTTAATAGCTAAAATCATATTGTCCTAGTTCTTCTATTTTATTTAGACACCCATAAGTCTTTTCTCTCAGTATTCATTCTTCATAGCTGATCTCATTACCTCCCAAAATGTCAAGCATGTGGTTGATGCCACAATCATATCCGTAATCCTGATGATGTTTTGATATTCAGTCTCAATATCCACTTCAATTTTGCACCTAAATCTCAAACACTCAAACCTTAAATCTCCCAAGCCATTTACATCGTGCGTGTGTGCATGTGTGTGTAGGTATTTACCAAACCATCACTTCTGATTTCCCTTTATATGTAAATGCCACAGTTTCCCTTCTAATCAAGCTTAAAGCTAAAATTTCAAATGTTTTCAAAGTCTCCTGTATAGTATCCTTTATTGTGGAACCTTATGTGAATAATAATATAATATTCTATTATTCCCCATTACTTT